CGGATTACAAAAAATTCGATCATGGATTACAAAAAATTCTATCATGGGTTACAAAAAACAAAAAAAACAAAAAATTCGATCATGGATTACAAAAAAAAAAAACAATTCGATCATGGATTACAAAAAAATCGATCAAGTATTACAAAAAAATCGATCAAGTATTACCAAAAAAAAAAAAATTTCGTATGGGACTCGCCGATTCACTGTACGGACTCGCCGATTCAATACAGTGAATCGGCGAGTCACTGTACAGAAGCGTCCGGTTCTCTCTAAAACCGGACGATTCCCGCTTTTTTCGCCAATTCAATCCATCCATGGCGATTCCCGAGTCGAACTGGACTCGGCGTTTTTCTAAACACGGTAAAAAACTATGGAAAATGGTATTCCGATGTTTACCGTTCAAAAACATAAGGTGGTACGATGTTGCAATTAGACCTTCCTATAAATAGGGGCAGTTCGATATTTAGGCATCAAATGTCAAAAAATAGAAAGAGAAAAAAATAACTAGTTAGATGTTCGAAACATCGAACTAGGCGCAAAAATAAGAAAAATCATGGGAATAGGAACTTAAGGTAAAATTAGCAAAATTATGGACCAAAAAGTAAATTCAGTAATTTTACCCGGTAGGTAGAGACCGATGTTTCTGGTAACACAAACATAAATCTATATCAAGCTCTTGTTTAATTCATGCAACCCAATCTCTTACTTTTGCACTTTTTTTAAAAAAGGATGAGGTTTGTAAAAGGTGTCAACCTGAAGTCAGGCGCACCTCAAAACGTTACGAAAAGTTGCAATTTTGGTCTTGCAAAACCTTGCGATGGCATGAAAAATCTATTATCACCACCTAAGTATAAAGTTCATAAAATAGGATCAACCAAGCAAATCTATAAACACCTGAAAATAGATTGTCCAAATAATTATTAGAGATAAAACTATTTTTAGGGCCTGAAATCACTTCATTTTCATATCAACGAATCTCGAGGTCGATGTAATCCGTTGGAGGGTTTTCTACCATTGAAATAGCCTAGCGTTCTTTAGTGAGTTTTATAAGTGCACCTTACTTCTACAGTATAAGGTTGACACCTTGTATAAACTTTTCAAGTGAAGGTTGATCTATTGTTGAAAAACCTTCTAATTGATCATCATGACTTCAAGATATATGGGTGTGAAAAGAAAATAATTTCAAGTCCTAGAAATAGTGTATCTTATAATGTATTATTTGAATCATCCAACTTTACCATTTTCAAGTGGATGTAGATGTAC